ACTCGAGAATTCTGTTCCAGGTTTATCAATCATTTTAGCTAATATTAATCGACATCGGCCTATGTTAAGCTGATTTTGGAGTTAATTTAGAGTTAGGTCAGGAATAAAAAACATTTCTAGAGATTATGAGCGGATTTTCTTTTGTTAAAGCTCCAGAAGCAGTTTCACAGACAATTTTTCTTAATTGTGTCGATCATGATCGACAAAACTTGGCACAGAATTCTGTGTGCTTGTTCAGAGGTATTCCATTAAAATCCGAAATTCAAGAATTACTGGCGACGCACAAATAATCAAGTAGACAATATGTATAAAATAAAATTAGTTAATCTTACTCCATCAAAACTATTAGTAGTAACAATGCTAACTAATTCATTAATGAATTTCGTATTTTGTGTGCTACTCAAATTATACCAACCCTGCTCCGGATCTTGGGGTTGTTTATTAAAGAATTTAATAAAATTATCCCTATCAGTTGGTAACAAGATTGATAGAATGATCTATAAAATCATAATTTGTTATTTTATATAAATCTTTTTTAATGTATATTTAATCTTTATCTACCTTAAATTTTAGATTCTTGCTTGACCTATAATTTGACAGTTGATTAAATTTGTAAACTTGGTTGTTAAAAATTTTAAATGGGTCACCACCAGTATTATTATTTTCGGCATTATTAACAAGGTCATTCGGGCCAAATGCTATATAAATATTAAATAACTTATTAACTTATTAAACTTAGTCATAATTAAATAAATAGACTTAAGACTTTAATTTCGCATACCAATATAGTTTAAGTAATCAATTGATGGGTTGATATCAAAATCTACACTAGGTGCTAAATTAAGTTTATAAGCGGGATAATATCCAACAAGTATTTTTGGTTTAGTTTGTGATAGGTTGCATGAATCTTGACCCATCACCTCTTTTTTCAATATAAAAAAGGTATATAAAAAAAGCCATGTGAATTTATAGAATGGTAAAAAAGATTGAATTTTCATGTTTTTTATAATTCCAAAAGTTTTTTGAGTATGAAGTTAACATAAAAAGTACACCGTAAAGGTATATAAGACAAAAATTTCAGTGTCAAAAATTGGTATAGATGCGTAATAAATATATTCTTAAAAAAAAATATCACAAAATGATCATCCTATATATATAAATCTTTGTTATTATCGTACGTGTCACAGATAAATTAGGGAAATACAGTCAGACCTCCCTAAATGCACGTCGTCGGGACCAGCTCTAAAGCGTGCATTTAGAGAGGTTTGCAATTAGCGAACACTAATAAAATCATGATGTGACTATTATTACGGCTTTAGTAGCCTAGAAATAAAGGAATTTGATTGGCTGGTAATCACATGCATGCATTATGGAGGGAGTTTTTATAAATGGGCCAGGCAATTAGCGATAAGTCCCACCATGGCCCGGGTGATGCATTTAGGGAGTCGGTTTTACTTGTTTGTGCGAGTGATACGAACTTAAAAAAGGAAACTTAAAATAAACTATGTTCGTATGAGATTGGAAATTTGGGATTAGGTGTTATAGTTAGCATTAGAGTAAATTATTACTCGATAGATGTAAATTTTATTCTCGTCATTTTTTAATTAATGCCTTAGTTTAAACTCCCATTTTCTTTTTTTTTTGATTTGCGCACGTATCGGAACGAACACAATTTACGTTTCCCGGTTGACTAATTGCATTTGGGGGTTGAACAGCATATAACTATAACAATAATGCAAAGTACCCTTTTATATTTGCCGACAAATCTCAAAAAGAAAGCAATTACCCTTTACAAAAAAATATTAAATCAAAAAAATTATTTAAATAGACTTTTACTAAATGTGATGAATGCATTATCTTAAAAACTAGTTAATTCATCGGTGTGGGATGTTCTAAGTAAAAATGTTCTACCCCTAAAACTCTTGCCTAAACCCTAAGTACTTACCCTAACGTGAAAACATTTGCATTAACAAATTTTATAGAGAAATTTACATATAAGGTCCAAACAATGAAAATAATTACAAATAAAAGCCCAATGAAAATAATTACGTATAAGGTTGATTCAATCTATGAGTGGGAGCCTAAACCCTATAGTGTTCCAAGCCGATTAAATTTTTACGGCTAGGCTAAGCCGTTAAATGTTTAATAGCTTAGCGGCCTGCCGATAGGTATAATACCAATTCGAAAATATGGGTCTGTAGTATGTCAAAAATTTCCTATAAACTTAACATTAAAAATTGCATATTACAATACTAGCTATTAGGGTTCTGCAAGTACCGGGCATCACAGAATATGCTCTAAGAAAAGCAAAGATACTTTTAATTAGTATAATTAATTAGTATAATTACTTAAAGGCTGGAAAGCAATTATGCTATCCTCATTACATTGAGATTGTTGAACCTCATTATCATGATGAATCGTCAACTAATAATAACGAACAAGATCAAATAATCATTAGAAAATCATTGTCATTTGAGAGAAAAATGATTAAAGTATTATACAAAAACAAAGATAAAATAACATATGAAGTAATCAATATGAATTATTCAATTGTGATTATATATAATAGTTTTGTAAATAATTATTCTTTAGGAATTGGATTATATTTAGTAGTATTGGATATTTTTTGTAATGCAATTGATGCAATTTATAGTGCAGATACGTATTACTACTTGTTACGAAACTATTAAAAACTACAAAAAAATCATGACTGTACATTTAAAAAGTATTTAAAAATATTTTATTAAAAAAGTAAATATTATTAAAAAAAATAAAAATAAAACATAAAATAAAAAATAATAGAATTTAAATTTACTTAATTAGTTTAAAACTGTAGTTATAGTTAGAGATGTAAATGCATTACTATAACTTATCATAATTATAATGTTATAAGTATAATAAGTATGATATTGTGTTTATATCTCTAATTATAATATATATATATATGTTTTTTTAAATATTAACGGTGAGGCCATGCTTTTAACTAATTATAATATATAATTTTCTTTAATTTTAATATTTTTTCATATTTTTTTTCTTAAGCAGTCATGTTAGTATTTTATTAATATTCTTGAAACTACTTTTGTAATTTCATAGAAATATATAACAACTAAGTCTAGCATCATTCAGCTACTCTAATAGTACCTAAATGCAACCTGTTACACTACTTCAAACAGAAGTAGGCTGCTTGTTTAACTACTTAAAGTTCATAATAAAAAAGGTTAATAACAAGTCTCAACATTATCTTTCTAGCTTCTTTTTTAATTCATTCTTTTTTTCTTTTGCTTGTTTCTTTTTTTCTTTTATTTTTTGTTAATTCACTTTTTTTTTTTTATTCAAGTTCTTTTTCTTTTATATTTTCCTCTATATTTTGCTTGTTATTTCTTTTTTTTTGTTTATTAGTTTTTTCACATTATATTCTCTAAACTTGTTTATAAAAAATGTTTCAAGTTGTTCTTGTTACTATATTTACAAACTGTTGTCTTAAGTTTATACTTAGAAACTGTATTAATCTATTTTGTTTTTTCTTTAAAATTAGGTCTTTAACTAATATTTTTTTATTTTTATTTTTTTTTACTTCTATTTTTTCAAAGAGTATTATATATAATATATATAAAGGAACTTGGAATTTTTTCTTTTTCTTTTAGGTCTTTTTATACTGTTATTATGATTATTTTTTGAATTCTTTTTCAAAAATTATTTGCTCTTTGCATAATATCAGATATGCTTGTATTTTTTTTATTTCATCTTAACATTTTTGATATTTTGTTGTTGTATATATATCTGGTTTTTTTCTATTAAGTTTTTTTAAAGTCAAAAATTTATCTATTATATATTTTATAAATATATTTTTTTTTATACTATTTCTTCTTATTATACAATATATTCTTTTAGTTAAATTTAATCTTTTTCAAAACTGTGTTTAATTATAAATTATAATATCTATTTTTGGTTTTAAGTTTTTAATTACTTTTATTTCTTTTTATTCTGCTCTTAATTTTGTATTTGTTATTAGTTTGCAAAGGAGTTTTACTAATATATTAATTTATCTGTTTTTTTATTCTAAGCAGTACTTAATTTTTTTATAACTAATTTCTTTAATATATATTATTTTTTTATTTATTTTTTTTTTGTATTATAAGCAACAATCTTGTCTGTCTGTTTTTTATTAAGTAATATCTGGTTATTAATTAATACAAAGTTTATCAATGAAAGTATAACTAGCCATACTTATAACTTTAGTCATTATCTAATTAAAAGTTCTGTCTGAGGGTTACCCACTAGCTACTATATCTAAGATCTGTTTATGAATTCTCTATTTAAACTTTCTGATTTTTAATCCTATGTATTACACCTTCTATTATCACATAAACATATCAGATTAGAGCTATCTAATTACTATTTGTATTAAGGTACCACTTTATTAGATGTTACTGAGTATCTATAGTTCTTCAAATTTACCTTTGATGCAAATTTACTAAGTATAGTACCAAGATTACTCCTTAGATTTTATTTATATTAGTATATTCTGTATCCACTAAACTGGTTTTGGTGCCAAAGGTGTTCAAGTTTCAGTAAGTTTATTTTTTTCTTATAGTTTTCTTTTATATTTATTGTATCACTTACTAGTGCACCTTCTCTCTATTTCTGGTATGTTTATCACTTCTCTCACATTGAGTGCCAACTCTCCATATTAGGAAACTTCTTTTCAGAAACTTCCTTATATACTGATCTTCTATTCACATAGACTTAAGTCATAGGACTTCACATACATTCATATGTTTTCATAGATTACAGAGTTTTGCTTTCAGCTAAAATTGAATTGTTAACCTTGTTTGTAGAAGGAGAGGCACCTAGACCACTAGGCTATAGGACCTCATTTTTATCTTATTTTTTTTTATTTACTATTTCTTTTTTTATAAGATTATCAACTTTGTTGTTTTACTTATTTTTACTGTAACTTTTTATATTAATTAACTTAATTTATATATTTTTTATCTTAATAAAAGTTATGATCTTTATTATTTATATTATTTTTTTTTAAGAATTTTATTTCTGTCTATCTGTTCTAAATCTTTACTAATATTTCTTATTGTAATATTATTATCTATATATATACAGTATTTAATATTATCATATCTATTATATTCAAAACTTTTTTAAATTATATCTAATATTTAAAAGTTCATATATTCAAGAATGTTTATAATATATATAAGCTTCAAAAATTAATATATTAATTTAAAAATATATAATTATATATTTTTATTTAATATTATTCTCTATATTGTTATGGGTGTGGGTCTCATAGCTTAATGGTTAAGCTCCCATATTCTCCACAGTCAAGGTCAATAGTTCAAGTTCAACTAGAGACAAAATTAAAGATTTTAGCTTCTGTAATCTAATAAGGAGTCTGTAATTGAATGCAAAGCCCTGTGATTAAGTCCAAGTGCAGTACAATAATGGAAATAGGAATTTCTGGAAGGAGACTCAATCATGGAGTGCAGGCATTATGTATAACAAGCAGTTGTTACAGAAGGTTATAGTTATAGAAAGATTGCACATGTAAGTTCTTTAGACTAGGACAGCACCAATATCCTTATACCTTCTAATATAAACAGTACCAACATTTCTGCACCCAACTTGTGAGATACTTGCTTGGAAGGATAATCAACAGATTGTGCAAATAAATCCTAATTAGGATTCAAGAAGAGGATTTGATTAGGAGAATATTCTGAAAGTAATCAAGACTAGAATAGTAAGAAAAGTGATAAACACAAGGATGAACTGTGATAAAGGATTGGTCTAACCAAAATTGAAAGCACCTCTGGCATAGCTGAATAATCTAATTATAGAAGGAAAAAATCTTAAAGGTTGGCATATAACTTCTTTGTGCAATATAAAAATACCAAATTGGGTTTCTAGTCATACCTATATAAAAGTCTTTGACGAACAAGACTGGTATTAATCAACCAATGTAGATAAGATCTGCAAGGTAGTATAGCATCACTGGGGTCAGTGTAACTCTCTGGGGCATAACCAGAATTATTCTGCAGATATTATTAAATAAGCTAGAAGCTTGCAATATATAGTAATATAATATTATTGGGATTGGAGAAACTTCTTAGATATAACCAGAATTGTCCTGTTTGTAAGCACAACAAGTCTCAGTCCCTACCATAGAAGGAAGCATCATGTTGGAGATTAAATGCAGCATCAAGTTACTGTATGACATTAAGACCTGAGCATCTGCAGAAATAACAGCAGCAAACCTAGCTTGAGATATAGATTGGTCAAAAAGACCAATGACAGCAGCAGATCTGGCTTGAGATATATAGGTCTTTTGCAGATTCTAGACCATTGTTAAAACACCTTAGGGAAATCAATAACAGGCATACCAAAGATGGGAAGATCATAAGAATCAAACATACCTGAATAGGACCAATTTGGGAGTGGTATAGTAACAAAAAGGTAAGAAATATAGGGAACAAGGTAATACTAGATATAGTTAGATTAAGAGGCAGAAGAAACAAGACCAGGTAAAATATGTGAGTAGAACATATAGATATGATTTACAGAAGACAGTACCTCTGGCATTTAGGATACTGTATTAAGTTTGATAGATATTCTTATCTGTGTAGTGGTTTAATAGTGTGCTCTAATCGCAAGTGGTTGTTAAGATAACTGCATGCAGGCATGCAGCAGACATGCACTTAGGTGCCATATGGATAACTAGGTAAAGTCAGTGGTGTAAAATTATATAGTATATAGTACTAGTAATAATCGATCCTAAAAATGTAATTATAAATTAGTACTATATTAAATTAAAGCTAATAAACCAACTGGCATTATCGCCACAGTTTAAAAAATATATATATATATATTGTTATTAGCTTAATAATTATTAATGTTAATCATTCTTCTAGATCTAATGCTATTTTTTTATATTTTTGTATTATCTATATATATTATATACCAGTTCTTGTTTTTTATTATAATTTTTTTTAGAACTATTGTTATTTCTTAACTAATATTTTTATTCAGTTTTTGTTACCTAATTATCTCTATTTTTAGCTTTTTTATTATTATAAATTCTTCAAGTTTTTGCTCTTTATTTTTTATCTTTTTATTTATTAGTTAGTTTATTACTATCTTAATCTTATTACTACTTTTTTTATTAATATATTTAAAATTATATTGATTTTGCTATTTACTCTTATTCATTATTAATAGCTTTTTTTTGTTTGTTCTTCTTTTGTATAATAATTATATTTAATTTTAATTGTTAGTTTATTTTTTTTGCTTTATATTTGACAGTGTTCTATTAATTTTTTTTAACTATCTTTTCTAGCTACTTATTATTTTGTTCACTGTATACTACTTATTTTTTTTTTTGAATTATATCTATTTATCTTAAAATATTTTTTACTTGTTTATTTTTTAGCTTTTTGAGTACTTTTACTTCTATTACTTTAAATCATTCTATTTTTTTACTTTTGTTTAATTAACTTTAGTAGTTCTTAAACTGCTGTCATATAATTTTTTTATATTAGTAACTAGTTTAAGTATATTAGATCTGCTTTATTTATTCTAGTTTTACTTTGTTTTACAATTATGTTTTTAAAAACTTTTATATTCTGATATTATACCCAAATATTATTTATAAGTTATTTTCTATTTTTATATTTATTTTTAATTTTCTTGTTTTTAATATTATTGGGCAGACTAAGTTATTTTTTCAATATATTTTATTTTCTAAAATTTTATTTAGTTTTTATATATTTTTGTTAAATTTGCTCTTTAATAACCTTATGTTATTCTTAGTTTTATCAGTTGTTCAAGGCTGTTTTGTCTGTTTAGTCTTATTAGTAAACTACATTATACAATTTTGTACAACTTTAATTATCTCAAAAAATACCATATAGAATTTTATAATCTTTTTTTATTTAAAAACTTTAGATTTAATAAGTTTATTATATAATTTTTAATCTGATATCTTTTTTAATTAACTTGTTATAAATTTTTAAAAAATATCTACAATAATATGATAGGTAGTTGTATTATTTACATAAACAAGATTATAAAAGCTAATTAAATTATTTACATCATTTGGCAGCAAAACATAGAAATATGTCATCTTTTTAATATAGATTTAATATTTTATTATCTACCTTAAATTGTAGATTGTTTGTTTTCTTATAATTTAACAAATCATTAAATTTAGAAGATTAACTGTTAAACCAAAGGGTCACTACCACTATTATTATTTTTGTCATTATTAACAAGGTCATTTGGACAAAATGTGATATAAATATTAAATAACTTATTAAACTTAATTGTAATTAAATAGACTTAAAGCATTAATTTCGCATATCAATAGAGTTTAAGCAATCAATTGATGGACTAATAGTAAAATCTGCTCCGGTTTTAAATTAAATCTATAAGCGGGATAATATTCAATAAGGTTATTTGGTTTAGTAAGTAATAGGTGGCATGAATCCTGACTCACTACTTTTTTTCAATATAATTTATGAAATGATAAAAAACAAAATTTCATGGTTATTATAATGCCATATAAAAGTATGGAATTAATGAAATTAACATATGGGAAAAAAATAGTATTAAGGTAGTAAGGTATATTGTACCTTTCTTCAGAAAAAAGGTTTCAAAGAAAGCTACAAATGAGTTAAGATTAGGATTGTCATATGTAAATATTTAATTATTGATGTAGTATTACAGAAAAATTATATAGAAGGATAAATTGATGCATAAGGATGAATGAAGGGATACTATAGTTCTTAGGACATCAAAAAATCTGAGAAAAGACTGGGATTATAATCTTCATTAAAATTCAAGTTGAATTAGGTATACTTTAATCAACAATATGATGTACTGTACCTCGACTTATACAATCTACATTTATAAGGTACGTTGCAGAACTATAAACAAACTCATTTCCATGTCATAATATTTATAATTTTGAAGTCAAAGCAACAATTCTCTTGAAAGCGAAAATGATTTTCAGGATATAATTTATCAGCTTAAAAACTAGGTTTGTATTAGGGAATTTAGTATCTACTTTATATGATTTCTATAAAGATAAATAGACACGACAGTAGTGTTATTATGCATCGATATCTTATTAAGCGTAATAGATCATATGCGAACTACGTTTTTCTAAATATTATTTTAAACGAACCTTGAATCTAATATAGATACTGATGACAAGTATGAAACAGTGTAATACAGTAATAAAATAATCGCATATTTATATTCCCAAATTATTTTTGTTTTACAGAACGTTTAGTCTACACATGAATGGAGACGCTATCAATAATGGCGTGGTTATTTTCATCACTCTAGTTTAATTCCACACCAACATATAAGCTGCTTCGATAATATCGTTAGCAGAAGACAATTTGTAATGTATAATGAGCCTATGGTTCTGGAGAAAAAAACTTTGCCATATAAGGTTATTGTTCTTAAGAGCATATCACAGTTTCTATACCTAAATATAACAATCCAGTATAAACTTACAGTTCGTTATATCTAGAGTTCGTTATTAAAGTGATTAATTATAGAGGAAGTTTGCCTCATACGTAACCGAACTCATGTTGGGCACTTATTTCATTTATAGTATAAATCTTTTTGAGATTTTGTGAACGGATATCACTTCAAACTGCATATAAACCATACGTACACTCATTACTTTCATTCCTGGTATAAAAAAATGTCAAATTACCTGGTATTATTCTAAATTCGGTATGATACATCTGTGCAACCAAATATCTGGATTCACACATCACTAGATTACCATAAGACCACCCCCTATAAGTGCGCACACTCTCTAAATACACACTTAAATTCGGGCCTAAATATATACATGACCCCCATAAATGCACTTGTTTTCTAAGTGCACATCATTAAAATTCGGTCACAATAGCGTGCACTTATGGAGTTTTACTGTATTACATTCAAAAAAATTCATCAATTTCTCATATTCGCGAAAGACCCCTTTAAAAGAAATCCGACTAAACTTTACAATCGTTGTTGAACCTGATAAACATGGTCGAAGAACACCTCCAAAAATGTAATTATTTCTAAGAAGACTGTGTTGCAAAAATTCCGAAAAAAATCAGCTACAGCTACATACACATATAAAAGATCCAGAAATGCTAGTTAATGTAATATATACATGAATAGAGATACTAATGAAAATAATTTCGATTTTATCAATAATAATGAAATTCTTTACACTAATGTAACTTCACTAACAACTTTACATGTAACCATCGTAGCAGAAAGAAAATTTATTGAATTTGTATTGCAAAAGCATACATAGTGACCCTATGGTTTTAGAGAAAAAAATTTCGCTTTATAAGATTACTCTTTCTTAAGGGTATATATTTTCTATACCGAATATAACGAACTAGTACAAAGTATATCTAGAGTTCGTTATTAAGGTGATTAATTATAGAGGAAGTTGGTCTCATACGTACTTATTCAATAGTATAAATTTTCTTAAAGCATACCATTTAATAATTAGAAGACTTTATGATTTGTATCTGAGAAAATCCGATTATTTGTATCCGGACGAATCTGACGATTTATATCAGAGTAAACCTGAGGATTTGTATCCAAGCAAGCCTGATTATTTGTATTTATAAGTGGGTTAGACATTTTTGCTTCGTGCCTTATTCGATACAATATGATGCCAACAGCTACTAATGCACTAACAAAAATAATGGAGCCTATTACACCACCCACTATTGCACCAGTATTGGACGGAGATGGAGGGATGCCTGAAATTCCATTTTCTCCCGGCTTACTTGGTTGAATTCCCAAAATAAAGTTTGTCAATTGTAAATCTTTCGAATCTTTGGTGATGTCTGCAATCGCAATTCCGAATAAATTATTATTTTTTATATA